GAGAGGAACAAAGTGCTGGCTGTGGGCACCTCGGGACCCGTGGCTGGCGAGCGAGCAGGCAGCGTGGGGGAGGTGTGCTCTGCTTCTGTTGTCGCGACTGAGGGCCTAGGGCCGGCGAGGGTGCTACTGCGGCCTAGAGCGGGCGGGCGGGCGAGCGAGCCAGTGCTGCGGTAATTGCGACCACCCAGGACCTGCTGTGGGTGCTGCAGCCTAACGAGCAGCGGGGGCAAATGTGCCCCACGTTGGCGTGCCAAATGTGGCGGTTTGGATTAATGAAGACCAATAGTAATAGGTATTTGAACAATTTTAATGACAAAACCAGACTCACGAAACCAAGGTTCCAGCGGAGTACCAGAAGCAGGAAGGAAGGGGCGCATGGCTTCTGCTCACCCAATTTATCAGTAAACATTCGCCCGAGGCCGGCCCACCCAAAGGGCGGGCTTATTCCTACAAGACTTCAACACTCCCCTCTCATCACTGGACAGGTGAGTAAGACAGAAAATGAAGAGAACTAATAGATGTTATAAATCAAATCCACTTAACAAATAACTACAGAATATTCCATCCAAACCGAAAAGGATATACTTTCTTCTCAGCAACTCATGGAACCTTCCCAAAATTGACTACATATTCAGTAACAAAACAAACCTCAACAAATACCAAAAAAAAAAAAAAATGGTATAACAGTGAAGAAAAATTTTAGGTCAATTTTGTATTTTAATTTTTTTCTTTATATTTGTATGTGTGCCCACCGTGTGTGTGTGTATGTGTGTGTTGGTGTCTGTGTGTCTGTATGGTGTGTGTTTATGTGTGTGTCTGTGTGTCTGTGCAGTGTATTGTGTGTGTGTGTCTGTGTGTCTGTGTATGTTCATCTGCATGTGTCATGGCATAACAGTGGTGATCATAAGACTACTTTTGGGAGTCAGTTCTCACCTTCCATCATGTGAGTCCTTGGGATCAATCTCAGGTCATCTTGGCAGCAAGGACCTTTACCTACTGAGCCATCTCATTCACTAAAGTTTTTTGTTTTGTTTTGTTTTGAGTAAGTATCTTAATAATAATTGATGATAATTTTAGTCAGAAAGTGATTTTAGAATGAATAGTAGATTTTTAGATAACATGTAACTTTAAACTGTGAGCAAAACAGAGTGATGGGGCTGAATTAAATGATGAAGTTCTTAATAACTTACCACCTTTTGTGTAAAATTCTCTTTCCTTCCTCAGAATAAAAGCTTGAAGAACAAATTGTTGTCCGGAAGCAAGCTGTGTGGGATTCATGCAAAAGAGGTGAGTAAATATGACCTTCTCACAAGTGTACCTGGCTAAGATTATTATTGAATTAAATCTTGTGTAATCTAAAGAACTAATGGTTTTTCCCAAAACACAAATGAAATACAGAATGCAAAATAAAATACATTTTAGTTTTGTATGCATCTAGTTATTCCAATATTACACAAATGAAAAAATAGAAATGTATCCAATGTCATGTTCATAAAATGAATTTCTAACACCTTTCTCATTGTATAAACCAATTCTCCCCAGCAGGAAATTATCACATTCCCACTGTATTTTCCTTAAACTTTGTGACATTTATATGCCACCAGCAAAGTTCCTGGGATTATATTAGTTTATCAGATAAACAGACCTGCTTATTCTATTTCCTGTGCAATTAGATTTTCTTATATATAACTCAAGGAAGAACAAACATTTAGTCACAATAGTCAATTTTGTCTAACTCTGACCTGATGTTAAGTTCAAAATAGAAACAAAGAAAACCAGCCCTCATATCACAATCCGAGAGAACCTAGATAACAATGAGGACCCTAAGAGAGATATACATAGATCTAATCTACGTGGGTTGTGGGGTAAAGGGAACACTCTTGCATTGCTGGTGGGAATGTAAGCTGGTACAGCCACTTTGGATGCCAGTGTGGCAATTTCTCTTAAAATTAGGAAACAACCTTTCTCTAGACCCAGTAATACCACTTTGGGGTATATATACAAAGGATGCTCAATCATGCCACAAAGACATGTGCTCAACTATGTTCATAACAGCATTGTTTGTCATAGCCAGGACCTGGAAACAACCTAAATGCCCCTCGACTGAAGAATGGATAAGGAAAATATGGTACATTTACACAATGGAGTACAACAGTGCAGAAAAAAAATAACAACAGCTTGAATTTTGCAGGAAAATGGAGGGAGCTAAAAAACATTATTTTGAGTAAGGTAACCCAGACGCAGAAAGACAATTATCACATGTGCTCACTCATAGGTAGTTTTTAAACATAAAGCAAAGAAAGCCAGCCTACAAACCACAATCCCCGAGAACTTAGACAACAATGCAGACACTAAGAGAGACTTACATAGATCTAATATACATGGGAAGTAGAAAAAGACAAGATCTGCTGAGTAAATTGGGAGCATGGGAACCTTGGGAGAGGGTTGAAGAGGAGAGGAGAATCAGGGAGGGGAGCAGAGAAAAATGTAGAGCTCAATAAAAATCAATTAAAAATAGAACTGTATCTTGTAGGAACTATTAAGGAGAGTAGTAAAGTAATAGTTAAGTTTACAAGTGAGTGTAGTTTAAAGACAAGAGTGCCGGTGTCTCAGCAGCACTTAGAAAGCTACATGAAGAAAGCTCACCCACTGAAAATCCCATGAACTATAAGGAGCAGGCAAGGAAGCATTAATATTCCAGGAAGACCTGATGTCTATGAAGAAAATGGGAAGGAACAAAGCTTAAGAGAAGAAAGATGACTTTACAGTTTGAAAGTTGACCCCTCCAAAGATGTCCAGAAGGGAGATCGAGAGCTGCTTAAGCAGGTCTATCATTGTCTTCCCTTAAGTTACAAATACCTTTCCCAACACCTTTCTATAGGTGGAATAGGGAAATTAGGAAAAAACATAATCTCCCTTCCTCTCCTGCTTGTAAGAACAAGGTCACATGCTTAGGCAATATGAGGGCTCAAAATATATTCTAAGACAAAGCCATTATCATTATCAAGAATACTTATACTTCAAGCTTGCATGTAATATGATCATTTGGAGAATAAGTTTCATATATATACATACATATATATGCATATATATTTACATACATATATATTCATCCATGTGTGCATATATATATATATATATGATATAAATACATACATACACAATGAATGGAAAGCTTTAAGACATAGAAAGTAAGTGGNATATGGATGGTATATGGATATATGTATATATCCATCCATATGTGTGTATGTATATATATGCATACATATATACAAACATACATACACAATGGATAGAAAGCTTTAAGACATAGAAAGTAAGTGTTGATTCTCTATAGAAAGTAAAATAGAACTGGTTCGTTTGTAGATCTGACACAAGGAAGGGCTTCATTTCATCGCATTTTGCTCTGTTTGGGTAAAAATTAGCATGACATTGTTCATATTATTGGGGTTGTTGAAACAGGAAAAATGGGCATTGGGAAAGTTTTGAATACTGTGATATAGTAAATAGAGTGGTGTTTTAAATAAGAAGTGTCTAAGCTACGTGTGTTGCAGGCACCTGTGATACCAACACCTGGGCTATAAGACAGGAAAATCAAGAGTTCAAGGTCACTCTAACCCACAACACTGATTCTTGAGGGAGACTTGAGCCATTCAAGACTCTATCTCAAGAAACAACAACAGAAAAGGGAAAATATCTGGATAAAAGTTGCACTGAACATTTAATCAGATCCTCACAAAACTCAAGTACAGGGGAGAGGGGGACACTAGAGGTATCACTGGTGTTTAGAAAATTAAAGAGTTCCTCCATTTACAGTTTATCCTCTTCATTCAAGAATGTTCCTGTTTTCCCTCAGCTCAGTGAAAATTAAATCTTATTTGTTCATAGTTGTGTTCTTTATGTTATTTCCTTAATGGTTAAAATGCAGTTAAGTTCATATAATTTATTCATTTTGCCGTATCTTGTAAAATATTTATAGAATAATATCAGAGCTCAGTATTCTGGATTAAAAGGGTAATGTTTACACTGTCAAAATAGTATTTTAGAATAATATGTGCAAATTTTTATTATTTAATTCTTCATTATTTCTTAAAACAAAGTAACAATCTTTTGTGCTGGGGACTAGCTGAAAGCAGCTCATCATCTCGGCCACGGGCTCTCGGCTCTGTACCCACACAGGAACGAAACACACCGTGATTTAGCATAGAAGACCATGTAATGTAGCTTTTCCCAGGGAGAGGTGAACAAATATGTATTCACTGCACATAGGGAACTAGAAGCAGAATGAATAGAGGCAGCTGCATCTCTGAAATCCTCACCACAGCATGGCAACAGCACATGAAGGTGCATCTCTCTGGCTTTGCTGCATGACCAAAGACAACTTAACGAGTTAGAGATTCCCCTCTACCCTGAAATCACCACTGTTTCTATGACCTTGTTCAACACAGCCAGGAATCTTCTAAGCTCTTGGGCATAGCGAACAATAATTAGCTTCCCCAGTCTTCAGAACCTCCTTCCTCCCAGAGCTAATGTTTCAATCCAGAGAAAATAGTTATACTACAAACGTTAAAAACTGCAAACCCAACACCATCTGCCATTGCTACCACTATTATTTCATAAAGGGAAAGTTATTTGAACATAAATGTGTAGGAAAGAATTTCAGATTAGACTGTTGTCTCGTAAATAAGACCAAGGAACTACAATGTTCTGTCATGGCTGCCCACATCCTTGTCCTTCTAGCTGTCATTGTCATTATCACAGCTTTAATTAGCTCATGCACATGCAGACACTCCATGACCTTCATGATCTTCATGACCTGATATTTGGAATTGCATTTACAATTAGCAATGTATTAAAAATAAAATCACTGAGATTCCAAATCGTGTATAATTTTTTAGAGGCTTATCCTTTTGATAGTTTTAACTTATCAAAATATTGCTGACAAGCTAAGACAGCATGTTATATGTTTCAAATTAGCATACATTCCATAATAGATATATTACCTTAGATGTATTGTTTTTGAATACTCTTCATGAAAACCTGAGAAAGGATTTTGCTTAACAGCATACTGATAATTACTCTGGACTATGAAATACAGATGACATGAGAGTACAAAGAATTCATATCTTCATGATAACACAAGCGAAGAAATCTGCTATGATTCTACCATGTTGTAGTCACTAAATATATACACACATCACAATAAAAAGTAGAAAATAAAATCTCAATTCAATTCTAATTTTATATACTAAAACCATCACCTAATGTTGCTTTAAATATTTGTTGTTATAATGAAAAGTTTAGATCCTAATGTGCACCTGCTATGCAAATAGATTATAAGTGGATATTAGAAATAGTTGTCATTTGTCCTTCACCTCTTCTGAGAAACTCCAGCACTAATTATCAGGACTGGAGATGGCACTGGACAGGTCACACGAATACTTACTATGAGCAACAATGATTTGCCGATTCTCACACACACTTGTCAACTCTATTGAGAGAAAGACTTACCCTGAGAGAATCTTTGGCTTGAGTAAGAGTCCTGAAGACCAGGTGGAACAGGATTGTTCATTAGTAAAGTGAGTGGCCTAAGTGATGATATCAGTGTGAATCAGAATCGCCAAAAAGAAAAACTTTGTGTGAGACAAGGCTCTGAATCAGTTATCATTATTTTGTTGTTTCAGACACTTGGGAGACTTTGTAATCAAAATAGTTATAGGAAGCATTAATTTCAACATAAAAGCATAAGTGCCAGAAGTTGAAGGGTCATGTGCAAATATTCTTCATTAATAACCTCTGGCAAACCCATGTTTTTACTAGTAAGTTTCAGTCTTCTGATCATGAGCATAGGACTTTTATCTGCCCCTATTAGAAAAAGAGAATAACTTTTGGTAGACATGGGATGCTTTGGAAAAGAAAAATGAAATGAGAAATTCAAATAGTTGGCTGTTGTATGAATGGTGGGCTCCGTTCCTGCCACCCAGCTAGCTTTACCCAAAATAATTACACGGAAACTGTATTCTTTTAAACACTGCCTCGCCCATTAGTTCCAGCCTCTTATTGACTAGCTCTTACATATTGATCTAACCCATTTCTAATAATCTGTGTAACACCACAAGGTGACTTACCAGGAAAGATATTAACCTGTGTCTGTCTGGAGTGGGAGAATCATGGTGACTGACTGACTTGGCTCCTTTCTCACAGCATTCTGTTCTGTTTACTCCACCCACCTAAGGGCTGGCCTATCAAATGGGCAGTTTCTTTATTAACCAATGAAAGTAACTCCTCCATCAGTTGGCTTTGTTACCAAACTCTTTTTTAAAGAGATACTTAAAATTTAATTAAAATATAATTATAGCATTTCCACCCTTGCCTCTTATTCTTCCCATGCTCCTAATCCCTGCTCCCTCTCAAATTCACATACTATGTGTTTTGAATATATAAATACATTCTGTTGGGTCTGTTTATTGTTGTCTGCATATGTATGTTTCTGGGGCTGACCAGTTGGTATCTGGGGGTTCATCCCTGGGGAAGACTAATTCTCCTCTCCATCCTGTAATCTGGTCTGGCTTGGTTTTGAAAGGCTTGGTGAATGCTATCACAGTTACTATGAGTCCATAAGTAGAGATGTCATAGACTGTTTCACGAATTCTCACATAATTTCAGATCATACAGTGTGCTCTTCTTCACATTATTCTGACTTTGGAATATGGGCCAAATAAGGGAGCACCTACCACTCTTCATTATGTTTTACATATTTGCCCCTTACCATGTGTATATGTGCACATGTGTGTATGTATATGCCCATTTGGATGTTTCTCCCCAATGAAGTAAGAGGATCTATTATTTCAAGAGTAAGAATGCAATGAACTGAAGTACTCTACAGTACTGGTAACTGTGTCTTTTCTAAAAGGGTCAGAAGGCACAGTCTCCTTCTCCAATTACAGATAAATTATAAGGATGCAGGTAAAGGTGCATGTCACTGGGAGCAACTGAATTTGTTAAATGTTTTTATATTTATAAGGATATTGGTATAAAGTGTGGTCTTCTGTAGCCCTGTTAACCCTTGACTAGTGGAATTTTCCTGGCATTCTATCTGTTTGTTTGCTAGTGTCTGTTGAAAATAGTGTATTAAATCCTTCCATGCATTTACACTCAGGGATCTTAAAAAGCAATTCAGTAAAAACAAAGATAACAGCATCCATACACATGCCTTTGTGTTGCAGGAGGTTGCTTGTTCATTTCCCGGCTGCCCAGACTCCAGAAATAATCACACAGAAACAATATTATTTGCAATACTGTTTGGTCTGTAGCTTAAGCGTATTTCTGGCTAACCTATATCTTAAATTAGCCCATCTCCACTAATCTGTGTATTGCCATGAGGCTGTGGCTTACCTGGCAAGTTTTTGTCTGTCTGTCTCCAGCTGGGCTACGTGGCTTCTCTCTGAATCTGTCCTGCTTTCTTCCAGCATTCACTTTAGTTTTTCCCTTCTTAGCCCTACTCTTCCCTATCAGGCCAAGCCAGTTTCTTTATTAACCAGTGCTATTCACAGCATACAGAAGGGAATCCCACAACACCTTTGTCTCTTAAAATTAGATTTTTTATCATGCTTCATTACAGATATTTTGCATGCTTGTGTGTACAGTAGAAGACAGAAAGTTATTTAAATAACACCTTTGTAAACATATGATTTTTTAAACAGACTGAAATCTTGCTTCCTGCTCCAGATGTCTACATGTCTGATGTCAAAGCTAAATTTAGTCTTCTCTGTTGATTGTCCAAATTATAGGCTTTTGCTTGACTAGGCTAAAGGGTTTACTCCTGTGCAGCGTGGAAAATTTAAATCTTCACGCTCGATAATAAAAGTTAGCATAGGCACTAATGCATATCTCTGCTTTTACAGTCAGAAAAAATCCAAGCCCAACTAAAGGAGCTCCATTATGGGAAGAAAGATTTGTTATTTAAGGTAAGCATCTTGGCCACTTTTCCTCCTAAATGACTGCCTAACATCTAACATGCTCAAAATAGGACTTTGGCTAATTGAAATTTCCTGAATATTCTAAAAAAGAATTACTCTTGGCTGAGTTGGGGTTCCCTTCATTTTCCTACCTCTTAATGAAAGCATATAAGTAAATCACTAGGCCCTTTTGTTGTTCAAGGAAGATTTGGTTCTGATGTATTTAAAGCTCCTCTTCCTAAGGTTTAGTAGGGTTGCCTTTGATATATGTCTAGAGACTAGAGGAATATATTTAGCACATACAGTTGACCTTGCAATCTTCACAGAAGTTTACTGACATTCAGTCATGGGTCTGTCCCATCAAAACCTGAATTTCAGAAATCTGCACCCACTGAGAATGTGAAAAGAGGAATACTTAGGGGTTCACAGTTCTGAATTCCTGGACTTTAGGAGCATTATTTTCTGTCACAGGAGGCTTTGCAGATATGACTAAATTACAGACCTTTAAAGGGAAAGATTAGGTTTATTAGCACTGATTAAAATATTTGAATCTTTTTACCAATGAAGCAAAAATGTCAAAATGTCAAGAGAAGAGTGTATGTTGTCATAGAAAATGCAGAATCAAAGATAAGGGGCATATCCCCCAGCTTCCTTGATTTAACCCTGTAGACAGACTTTCTATCCCATCATCCCACTCCCAAATAACCACATGGAGATTTCTTATTAATTATAAAAGCTCAGCCAATAAATTAGAATTGCTCCTAATGAGCTCTTACAACTTATATTAACCCATTTTTATCAATCTATGTGCCTGACTCCTGTCATTTACCTGTCCTCTTGAGTGCCTTGTTCCCTCTCTATCTGGCTAATGACTGCCCTTCTTTTTTTGTGGTTACTGCTATTTTTATTATTTATTTATTTATTTATTTATTTAAGATTACTGTCTCATCCCCCCCGCTGCCTCCCATTTCCCTTCCCCTCCCCCAATTAAGTACCCCTCCCTCGTCAGCCCAAAGAGCAATCAGGGTTCCCTGCCCTGTGGGAAGTCCAAGGACCACCCACCTCCATCCAGGTCTAGTAAGGTGAGCATCCAAACTGCCTAGACTCCCANTAAAGGACATTGAGCCTATAATTCGTGATCTTAGAGAAGCTAAATAAGAAGAGAACCCAAAGAAAAACATATAGGCATCCTCATGAATATTAACCTTCATCAGGCGATGAAAGGAGACAGAGACAGAGACCCACATTGGAGCATGGGACTGAAATCTCAAGGTCCAAATCAGGAGCAGAAGGAGAGAGAGCACGAGCAAGGAACTCAGGACCGCGAGGGGTGCATCCACACACTGAAACAATGGGGATGTTCTATCGGGAACTCACCAAGGCCAGCTGCCCTGGGTCTGAAAAAGTCTGGGATGACTGCCCTTCTTAATCCCAAAGAGTTCTCTCCCTGTCCAAAAGTGTCACCTAACTTCTTCCTGCCTAGCTATTGGCCATTTAGTTCTTTATTAAACCAATGTGAGCAGCACATCTTCACAGTGTGCAGAAATATTGTTCCACAGCATATACCCAATGCATTCATTTCAGATTTGTCATCTTGGAAACTATAGAACATTCTGTGTTGTGTAACTAAGTTCATGAGAATTCCTTACCCAGGAACAGAAAGTAAAGGTCCTTGACTTGTATTCTTTCTCAATCTACTTTTTCTTCTGGAGTACTGAGATAATTACTTAGGCTTTTATAAGTAGGTTTAATAATATTCAGTAAAATAAGATTGAATTATTTGTAATATTTACTTTTCAACACATTTCCACTGTAATGATCACCATAAGTGAAAAAAAATGGTTTACTAAATTTTAAGGTATAACTATTTTAGTAAATGTGGGAATGAGGTGATTTTTACTGGAAACAGTGAGAGATGACAGAGTGGTGTGCTGTACTTGCTCTTGGCTTTAGAATCAGAGGGAATGTCCTGATTTTGCCAACAGGCATTTGCACATAACATATGATTCTGTCATGTCTTGACAAATACTCTTCCTGCCTTTGCTTTGGTGACCTTTAATCCACAGTCTTCAAAGCCCTAAGGAAACACCTGGAACTGTCAGACATGAAGGCCCAAATACCTGGGGAAAATTGTCATTGTTTAGGAGTAACTTCAGTAGAGAATGAACAACGATGTGTTAATTGGATTGAATAAAGAACAAGATAACATAACTGAGTAAAGACAGGCTCAGAAAAACTTGTCCGTGCCACCAACTCTCAGCATTTCTGGCATTCCTCCCTACTGAGGGAGACTTGGCCTGCCACCTCTGGAATGTTGTGTCTATGACCTGCAATTAGCCATTGTAGATCAGAGTATGCCCTTACAGCTAGCCTTTCCAAAGAACCACAGAAGAAGGCAGGGTTTTCCTGGTGAGTGTCATGGCTGCATTTAGGAAGAACTAATTTCTGTGACTCACTGTGGGAAAGAGAAGGCTGGACAAGTTCATATAGCTAATATCTGAGACTCATCCAGCATTGTGCAGTTGAAAGCAGTCAACACTCTAAGGTGACCAGTTTACTACTAAGTATTTTGAAAGATTAGATATTTTGTGTGTAGAAGCTTGTCTTCTTCCATTCTGAGTACCCTTGCTTGACTAGAGGGTCTTTTTATGGGGGCAAATGTGTCAAGTCATAGTGCGACTATGAGGACATATCACAATGCTGGGCCTATAAATATGTTATAAATTTCATTATGTTTGTGTTTTCCCTATTCCAGATTGAGTCCATTGTGGACATTAATGATAACTCTATTACCCTTTCCCACTGGCTTCCCACCCATCTAGATTCAAATTCTCATTCCAAAATTTGATACAGTTTTCAAAATTCACTCCTAGATGGTATTCAAATGTCAGGCTTTATGCCATGGTGTTTCTGCAGAGCCACCCTGTTCAGATAAAATTGGATCATTTCTGCCTCATCATTCCAGTGTTAATTGAAGGCCATTGTAATGCATTATAAAAATTAGACCTGTGAAACCTATAACATATCTGAGTGTTAGAGAAGCCAGTCAAAATAAAGACAGAGATGCTGATAGCACCCTGCCCTTTGAATCTGGGAGGTGAGTTGAGACTGGGATTGCTGCTTGCCTCTACAGACTCTTGTCCATTCCATCATGCTATGTTTTTATGACTTGGCCTCCCAAGCAGCCTTCTCTCTGGAAAGGGCCTTTAATTTATACTGCAAGAAGGTGATTCCATATTTCTATTGATACAAATAGAAAAAAGTTATCATGAACCTCTTGGAGGGAAATCACTTGCTTTCAGGAACTGTCTGGAGGTACTCTACCTGCACAAATGAGATGCTATGGTGGAGGCGGATGTTCATAAATGTTTACTCATCCTATTTTTTCTTAGTTCACAGACGATTAAACCCATATTCCTAGTCAGACTTGTTCAGTTTAGTTTCTGAAATTGTAAACTATAACAGCACATTTTAGGTACATAGTTGAGCACTTTGAAGTTACTCTCCAGGGAGAGTTCATTCTTCTCAATTCTTGTATTTAACCACTCTCAAATAGCTGTCATTTCCAATTAAATAAGGAAAAATACAGTAATATCTCTATTCCAAACTTATAACTTATTACGATAAAGTGAAAGGAAGTAATAAACATCCAAGGATTTGGCCCTCTATATAATTTTTAAGGTGCCTTGTTTACCTATCATTCATCCTAATGGCGGTGAAAGCAGATTCAAATGACAGGAGCAAACTGCTGTCCTTTGAAGACCCTTTGGCAGCAGGATGGTTGTCATGTTTGGATGTTTGTCATGAACTGGGTGTGGTGTGTCCCTTTAAACTTAGAACTGTGGACGCAGAGGCAGGCAGATCACTATAACTTCCAAGACAACCTAGGGCTGTGTACTGGGTCCCTGTCTCTGAAAACAAAGAAACAAAGCTGAATCTTTATCTGTGAACACCTTTGATTTAGCTCTTATATTGTTTGTGCTCTTTGTTTAATTACAAGGGTGTTCATTAACCTTTGCATAATGAAAGAGAAGATAGTCGTGTAGTGTAAATGCATAAAGCATTGAGTGACAGACACTATTTTAGCACTTTACAAAAAGGAGAAACAGACCACTATAAATTTCATCCCTCATAGGAATGGCCAGAGCAGAATCCTTAGGAAGTTCATATTGGGCGTCTTTTACCAGTGATAGCACAAGCAGTAAGATCACTAGACCTGAGTTTATCCTATTGAAGAAGTATTTGGTAATTTGCATACTCACATTAAAAACAAGCTACATCTATTTATCTTAAGATGAATGCATAAGAGAGTATAATAGACTCTCCACAACAGAAGGATCCTGTCAACATTACCTGTTTCAGGTACCAAAAACTCACTCTAATCCCCCTGACGGCACCACCTCTGTAAATATTTGACAATTAAGATCTATAACATTCCAAAGCAAGGTTCTTCTTTTTTCCTGAAAAATCACTGGAAAAGTCTCTTCTATTTCTATTATACCTCCTGTCCCCAAAGAGATACCAGGCTTTTCAATGACCATTTCCCCCAGGTCCTCTATCCCTGTGTCCATAGTTTCTGGTTTAGAGACTTATTTCTCTGAGGTTCCTTCAGGAGGAACAAAAAGAACACTTCTACCACTAGTTTTAACCAAGAGTAGAGCTAATTCCCCAGTGAAATAGCCTGAAGGTACAGTCCTCTGCAGGATGGTAGCAGATGACAGAGATAACTTCAGTGTCTGAACTATGACACTCAGTTGGAAGTTAGAAATTTCAGCCACCAATACATATTTCTAGACTTTAATCAAATCTGTATGGTCTTAAAATTTACAAGTGGCATATCTTCCTACACTGCCCCAGGTATTACTACTTAACCTTCAGAATATGGAGTACACATCTTCCTCTGAATCAAAAGTTTCCACATTGTATGCATGATGTGATACACAGTAGCAGTAACTTTCTATATTCTGGGTAGGAGTTGGTGCTCAATCCCTGTTTCTTTCAACATGAGA